TGTTGCTGTAAATGTAATTTACTTTTTGTTGCTTTAAATGTATTTCAGGCTCACAAAAGATGGAGTTATTTGTTGCTTTAAATGTCAAAAACATTCTCTTAGGTGTTTGCATCGGATCTCTACTCTTATTCAGGGAACTAAAGCATAAGAGACTCGTCAAGTTGATGGGATGTTGCTGCGATGGAGATGATGACTTTGACTAGATTCATACAACCATAGATGATGCAGAACATTGTTAATAGAGAGAGTTAACACAATAGTAGGGATCCTAGTTTTGATTGTATAATAAGAAAATGTTTGTGTCTTATAAGTTGAATAAATCAATCTATTTTTTATTCTTACTTCAAATTCTTGAATGTGTCATATAGCCTTTACCTGGTTTCTGCGTAGTTTTATTTGAATTTAAACAGGTAGGTCCTAAACAACTTTCCTTATCTGTATGGCAGATGTGTATGTGTATTGTCGTAATGAAATATAAAACATTAGAGAACTGCATGCCCAATATGATCGCAGTCTCAAATCTATATCCAAGAATAATTCAACACAGCGTAAGTTATATTGGCTCCAATTAATATATGAAAGTTATCAAAAACTTACAATCATGATTTTGTAGAAAACCATGATCTATATATACTTACTAAAAGTTGTTGTTCTTGTAATTAGGTCACTTGATCTGAATTAGAGACAAATTTAACAGTAGCAAGTGGTATTTATCTACTCATTCAAATAAAACTAGCCATTCTATGATGGGGTTTTTATGATCATTTGCGATACAAAATTAAAGAGTTAATTTTATTAAAAAGATAGTCAAATGCATAAATGTGTCATATAGTAACCTCTAAGCTTGTTTGGAAGGGGATTTTATTTTTCATGGCCACTTTATTTTTCAAAATTTATACTTAGCACATATTCATGATGGGTTGTGTAGTTACTTGGCCATAAAGCAACGCCATAACTCTATCACAACTATATTAGAGTTAATAGTAACATTGTAAGTCTGTCATCACCTATTAGGTTGTAGACGTAATATAAAATATTTGTAAGGGTAAAAACGACATTTTGAGTTATGATTCGCCCTAACAAAACCCTAGATACGTATAACTCTACCACGCAAATCTATCAACGTTGCGATAGAGTTACTTATGATAGAGTTACTTTACACCAGTAACTCTCTCACACAAGTATAACTCTAACAAACTTA